AAGTTAATTGTTGGATTAGGCCCTGAAAATATTTGAAGAGGCAAGGCACAATGGTTAGCACCAAAGTAATAGAAAACAGGGGGCCGAGTAAGGGCAAAAGCCAGGGAGTCAGTCCTGTAAAAATATCCTGTTGAGGTGACTGTTGGTACTGGGAAGTTTTAAGTGAAAGATAAAATCTTTCATGGATACTTTCATGGATACTTTTTCCCGAATACTTTTAACATTTTTGGCCTTTGGAACAGAGTATGTTGCTAAAAAGGCCCAAGGACAATTTGACTTTTAAAAGCCAAGAAAGAAACTGGCTACTTTTCTTTGGGGTCTTTTTACCCTAGCTGCCTAGCCAGTTCCTACCTCCTATTCTTCTCACACCATCCTCTGAAGAGGTTACCCAGCTTGTGGATAGGGAATTGGGACACAGACCGCTCTGGCTTCTTCCATGCTGAATAGGGATACAGGGTGAGGCAATTGGGGTACCCCTTCAGTGGGTCTATCTAAAAAATTCCCAAAATTGCATAACTCTTAACTATAGAGGAATAAAAGGTCTTTGACTGGTGCCTAGGAGATGTGAAGGGGAAGTAAAGGAAAGAGTAGTTAGCATTACAAGTTCTAGACGGGGAACCAGAAAAAGTCAGAACAAGGCAGATTTCAAATGTCCAAATTAAAATCCACTGGAATTTTTTGATGAGGGCTTCCAAAAGCATCCATCTATTAGGTTCCTCCTCATTTTCCTTTTGTCTGCCAAGGCTGGACTCGAGAGTGATGGACCCAGGATTTGTTTTCAGGTACTTTGATAACTGTTATTTGTTTTCAGGCACTCTAATAGCTGTTGGAGTAGCTAGAATCTGTCTTCTAGACAGGGAGAGAAAATAAATTTAGCCATCATTTTAGAACAATAGTAGCTACAGGTGGGCACTACAGTATTGGAGACCAAGATTTGAAGTCTTACACCTGAGCAGCATTTTCTTGTTAAGAACAAAATCACTACTGAGAAATAATTGTCTAAATAACATTTTACCTGGACTAATGTCTGGGAAATGCAATCCTGATACTTCAATTATTGGTTATACTTTCCTTTTGGGTGTTTAAGACCATGCATTTGGCCCAAATAAACCAATGTACTTTTACTTTAAGGTCCGTTGAGGATCTGACCTTGAGCTAGAATCTCTCAGCAGCCTGAAACTAGTAGTTTCAACCACCATGTCCACCTCATTCCCACCCCGACTCCTCACCCCCAACACTACAGCCTACTATTTCTGAGTACTCTGACCCTCTCCACTAGTGGGCACCATACTCACCCTTGGCTGGCATTTGTACAGGAGTGAACAATGCCACCTGCCTAATGTTGGCCCAGACTGCCTCCCTACCTTGTAGCCAAGGTGATTTTGAGAGACCTTCAAAAGCATGGATAAAGGTGTTGTGATCATGGACGTTACTTCCCAGGTCATCTGACAACTCCTGAACAGGGAAACTCCTTGCCGTTCGTGAACTCTTGCTAGCTCTGAGCAGTCATTGCTTGTTCTGCATCCTCAGAGAGGGACAGGTTCAAATTCGGCTCCTTGATCTTGCTCTTGTTTCAGTTCAGAATTCCAAACCATGGTCTCCACAGTGGATTCTTTTTAGTTTCTCTATGGTTGACTCAACAAGTACCTCAAGCTAGAGAAGCAGGCATGGCATGAATCTGCTGCTAGCCAAGCCTCTTGTCCTAGGCAGAATGCTGAGGCCTTTGGCTGACAGCTTACCAGCTTGCAGACTCCACACAACTCTGGCTTGCTGTCCAGCCAAGCTCAGCTCAGGCTTGGTTGCCCCTGAGTCCTGGGATCCTCTTTTTGCTTTCTCCTAGATGCCAAAACCCACAAGAGAAGAGAGTGTGGAGAGCAGATTCATCACCCCTCCCCATGACCACAGGTCACAGAAAAGTCACTGGCTTTGCAGTCAGTGTGGTGTCAGGCTCACTCAGTGGCTGCATGACCTTACGCAGAATACTCTGGCCTGTATTTGATTCCTTAGTTGTCGTGTAGTAATAGCATCTCCTAACCTTAGAGGGTTATTTATTTATTTTAAAGCTTAAATGATGCACAATATAATCCAGTGCATATTTGACCTCTTTTGCATCCTGCATAGGCCCCAACTCAGGGCTGGCCATGACCAGAGAGGTTAGCATAATCTCCTCATATCTATGCATGGAAGAGAGAAAACCGCAGAACAGGGTCTCCTGTTTTCTCTTGGTCCGTTCTTGATACTTTATGATCTTACTTCCTAACCCACACGCTTATGGCATCCTAGATTAAATTGCATCATAAAGATAACCTTGTCCTTTTTTGTTCCGCTTTGGACAACCTTGAGGAGGGGAAAGATATTTTATGGATCCCAGTTTTTCCTCTCAGTGACTTGCATTTTAAATGGAGGCATATTTATTGTAATATCATTTACACTCACAGCTTTCTGTGTTAAGTAAGAATGTCTGATCAGTGTCCAATATGATTCACAGCCCTCTGCTCTCCATGTGATTTTCATTTTAATTCTCTGTTGCACCATGAATATGGAGAGATTAAATGCATCATGATAAAGCTGTGCATTACAATCTGAGATGAGGGGGAAATTAAGCTATAATAATTCCATTTAAGCTAGTGACAGCCCCAGTTCTGGGTCTTCTGGTTTTTGGAAGATACCAGGAGACTGAGAGTAAATATTATATAAGCTCAGCAGGTTACTTTAATCTTGAGCTCACATGGACATTTATTAATCAAATAGAGTGGTTTTAATATATATTCATGGGCAGTGTTCCAGCTTAGCCTGGAAAAGAAACTGTTCATGTTCACATTTCTAATTTAAAATATTTTTCTTGAGAAGACAGGTTTAAGAATGGTGAATTGCTCTGACAACTGTTTTGAACCAAGTTAATTATTTCCCTGTCATGTGAGGCTTCATGGATTTGAGGTTATATGTGCTACATTTTTTTTTAAAAGAAGTGCTTTTCTGATTTAATGAAGTATCAGTATTTTCTTTGTCTTTCTATTGTACCTAGAGAGCTAACTTAAGGGAAGCAGATCCTGAAAGTATCCATGAAGAGGAAGTTTCCAAGCAGGTGTTCAAGCAGCAGACTCTGCTGCTCCAGGCTGGGGTGTGAACAACTGCACTGACCTGTGTGCTCCATGCCCTCAGGCTCTCCACAAAGCCTTGAGCATGGGCTTTACTGCACGGTGCACATTGTGCACAAACTATGCAATCTCCCCAGCCCCTTCCCTGACTTTCCAGCCTCTTCTTTCCCTCCAACCAAATACAAAACTAAGATACTCTCTTCTTCCTCAGAAAGAGTTGTCGAAAGCTGCATATCCAACAAGACACTAGTTTCTGGAATAAATAAGGAACTTTCCAAATTCAACCACCAAAGCAGTCAGCCCACCCAGGAAACAAGACATTTCACAGAAGAGTGTATATATGCAGATAGAAGATAAGTGATAGGTAGAGAATGGGCGGGAGCGAGTGGCGCGGATGGAGAGCACGAGCGGATGGATGAAGGCACCGAGGCTCAGATGGAATCCTCAGTGGGACACAGATTTATTTCGCACGGGGCACCTTTCCCTCAGGAAGGGAAAGATGTCCACGGGAAGGGAAAGGGGGAAGGGGGAAGGGGGAAGGGAAGGAAGGGAAGGATGTCAGGGAAGGAAAGATGTCCAGGAAAGAATGTCCACGGGTTGTGAGCTGGGACTTTACATATGGGGGCTTTAGGGTGTGGAATCAGGGAGGGGGAAGCAGGTAGGATTAGGGTGTGGAATCAGGGAGGGGGAAGCAGGTAGGATTAGGGTGTGGAATCAGGGAGGGGGAAGCAGGTAGGATTAGGGTGTGGAATCAGGGAGGGGGAAGCAGGTAGGATTAGGGTGTGGAATCAGGGAGGGGGAAGCAGGTAGGATTAGGGTGTGGAAGTGTCTTCTTTTTCCTCTTAAGATAAGAGGAACTCTGCTTATCTTTGGAGGTCAGAGGAAAGGCAGGCTGCTTCTCAGCAGAGTTTGTAGGTCCCTGTTGGGGAGGGGGAGGGGGCTGCTATTAGAACCCTAACAATAAGCACAAGGGAAGATGGTTCACATCTGCCAGTAGGGAAATACACCCTAAAACCACAAAAGACGTTACTATGCACCTACCAAAATGCCCAAGGTGAAAATTCGTGGCAGCTGCAGGTGCTGAAAGGAATACAGGAACTCTGGACCCCTCCTACCTGACGCTAAGTTCAACATGGCACAGCACTCAGGAAAGCATGTTTGGCAGCTTCTTATAAAGCTAAACATGCAGTTACCATATGACCCAGCAATTGTACTTCTGGGCATTTATCCCAGAGAAAATGGAAACACGTTCACACAAAAATTGGTACACAAATGTTCATTACAGTTCCATTCCTAGCAGCCAAAATCTAGAAACTACCCAGATGTCCTTCAAGCAGTGAATATGTTCCTACCATAGGATTCTCCTCAGCAATTAAAGGAGATGAACTAGTTATCTACCATCTTGCTCAATCTCCAGGGAATGATGCTGGGCCAATAATACCAGTCCTTAAAGGTTATGTGTTACATGATTCCACTTATATGACATTCTTGAAAAGACAAAATTCTATAAGAACAGATTAATGGTTGCCAGAAATGAGAGGTAGGGTCTTGGAGACAGAAAAATAGGCCTGGTTATAAAAGAGCAACATAGGGTTATGTCCTTGTGGTAATGAAATTATTCATTTCTTGACTGTGGTGGTTATATAAATACTATACATGTACTCTCAGTAGAACTAATTCACACTCATACCTACTATGCACACACCTACAAGAGAGTGTGTGTATAACTGGAGAAATCAGAGGAAGGTCTTAATATCTTGTTTATAATATCATAGTGTAACTTTGCAAGACATTATCATTGGGAGTAACCAGGAAGGTGTATCAGTTACTTTTCTGTTGCTGTGATAAAACACCATTACCAAGACAGCTTATAGAAGACTTTGTTTTGGCTTACCATTCCAGAGAGCTAAGAGTCCATCGTGGAGAGAAGCCTGGCAGCAAGCAGCAGGCCTGGTGGAAGAGCCAAAACCTGAGAGCTCCTATCTCCAAGTCCAGGCAGGAAGCAGAGGCAGTAAACTAGAAATGGATGATGCCTCAAACACCCCTGTGTTCTAGTCTGTTTCTCCATTGCTGTGACAAAACGCTGTGACCAATACAAACTTGGGAAGGAAAGAGTTTATTCAGCTTACATCTCCCAGGTCGCAGTTCATCAGGGAGCCCAAGGTAGGAACACAGAGCAGGACCTGGAGACAGGAACTGAAGTACAGGCCATGGAGGAATGCTGCTTACAGGCTTGCTCCCCTGGCCCCTGCTCAGCCTGCTTTCTTATGCAGCACAGGCCCACCTGCCAGGGGTGGCACCACTCACAGTGGGCTGGGCCCTCCCACATCATTCAACAATCAAGAAGCTGCCCCATGGACATGGCCACAGGCCAGTCCAATGGAAGAAATTCCCCAGTTGAGGCTCCCTCAACCCAGGTGTGTCAAGTTGACAACTAAAGCTATCCAGCACACCCAGGGACTTGCTTCCTCCAGCAAGGCCTCACCTCCTAAACCTCCCAAAACAGCATCACTGACTGGGGACAAACTGTTCATATATTTGAGCCTATGGGAGACATTTCTCATCCAAACCACCACAGAAGGATATATGAAGTCGCCCTATTATTTAGGGGGGAGGGCAGAGTTGAGATAGGGCCTCACTATATAGCCCTGGCTGGCCTGAAACTTGTTATGTAGACCAGGGTAACCTGAAACTCAGAGAGATCAGCCTGCCTCTGTTTCCCAACTGATGAGACTAAAGTGTGCACCACCACGCTGGGCACTCTATCATTTCTTTAAGACATACATTTATAATTATCTCAAATAGTTGACCAAGAAATACAAAGGGAACGGCAACAAGATACTTCCTTAATGGAAGAAGGAGTCAAGTGGGGCAGTGGCGCTTCTCTGCCAGCGCTTCTCAAATGCCACTTCAGACTCTGTATAACCCTGGCGGGTAAATGGTAATGACCCTGTTTGGTAGACTAAGGAAGTTGAGGTTTGTGAGTATTTTGGCAAAGTCCGGGTCTCAGGAACGCAGAGCCAAAACTGCCACTACTACACCAGCACATCTGACTAAACTCTCAGATCTCTGAGGAGATAGCTCAGGCTTGATATGCCATTACTGGTGACCATCTCTACCCTCCAACTAGGAAGTGACGATCACTCAGGGATGGGCATTTGGCATCTTTGTCAAGCAGACCATCAAGAGAACCCATGCAAAGTGTATTCCAAAAAGCCAGGCCGGCCTCAGGTCAGAGAGTTGGTACAGCAGAATCCGCAACAGCACCAAGGGCATTAATTAGAATGAATGGAATAGACGTGTCTGTATAAATGTTCCTGAAGATGAGGTTGTTGGGACAGAGTCAGACCTTGGGGAAATTTATCAGTTACTGGTAATTATAGGGAAAAAAATTCCAAAGGACAAGATCGTTTAAGAACAGATGCTACAAACTAATGAGATTGGTTAGTTAGGGGGTGGATAGGTGGATATGAGACGGATAGGGGATGAGATGGGTGGGAGTTGTGAACAGAGACTGCTGTTGGTGCCACTCTTCGTAGCTCTGACTCTGGGAACATGGAATCACATGCCAGAAAGGCGAAGTATATATATCTAAAGTCTACCAGGATGCCAGGGAAACTCAAGCTGAAATATAAACAGTAACAAATGAGCTTCAGTTAGTTACAAATGAATATGTAACTGTCCTGAAGGCAGGAGGAAGGGAAAGAACCCAACCTTGGTTTATTCAAAGCAGTCTCAGGAGGGATCCCACAAGGCTCAGGACAAAAAGTACAGGTTAGTTCTGATCTGTAGCTAGCATATTTGTTTCCAGGGTGGGGGTGGGGGGTAAGACAACTTTGCAACTACTTTATGCAAGTACTAGGATCTAGCTAATGAGTACATCATTGTGGATAAGAGAGCCAGGTTTATTACTATTGAAGAAAAGAATTACCATAAAGGAAGGGAGCCTAAAATCAGCTCTGCTGTTGGCTTGGAATTTAAGGTTTCAGTATGAGCACATAGTTCAGGTACACACACACACACACACACACCAAAAAAAAAAAAAAAAAAAAAAACCAGGCGATGAATAGTTATAGAGAGGTGTGCGAACACAAGTGCTATGGTGTATAGATAGATGATAGATAGATAGATAGATCATAGATGATAGATAGATAGATGATAGATAGATGATAGATGATAGATAGATGATA